GCAACGTACTTCTACATGGCATAGCCTCTTCATGCGCCTCGTACCCGCGAACATGTTGTACGCCGCCAAAACCTCAACTGGACAACCTCAACGTCCTAAGATCGACTAACAGTAAGTTGCATATCCTCAGTCCAGTTTTTACCAAGCTATCGGTACATGACTACGCATTGCGATGCTTATTCGAACGACGGAGACCCCCTGGTGTTTTTATTATGTCTCACTCAGCGATAAGCATGAGCACCGAAGCCTTCTACAACGCACAATAGCTCAAGAGGGCGATGCGCGAATCAAATGGACATGAAACACAAGAAATGCGCTCCCGATCGTCTAGTAAAGCTGACCGTGTACAGTATAGAGACGTGCCACGGCTCTTGTCCGGTGGAATTGAACACCCCCACAACGCCTCCCGCATCCACACGTCTCCATTGATGCCCCCGAAAGTCTCAGCAGAAACTGCGCGACCTTTCCTTCTCCAGTGGGAAGGCACTACGAGTTCTCTAGACTGACGCTATGGAGCGACTACCCGACAGGCGGCCACACTGTGTCGGCAGTAACCCGGGTGGTGTTCATGCAAGCTGTCAACAAGGAACCAACCAGCCAAAGGCGACTTTCCGACGGCCCCAACGATGCGCATCACTGAGCAATGATATGGGGTTGTTGGATTGTTAGTTAACGCTAGCAAATGACGTTATCGGCAGGCCTCTCGGCACCACCTCAAGACAAGGAAAGTGCCATGATGTGCGAAGGAATTAGCGAACCACCTCATCCTCAACGAGCCAAATTCCCCACGCTTTGCATCACTCAACGAGGGCTATCGATCCGACTTATGGGGTGTACAACTCAATAAATAAGACGTTGAGCACCCTTCATTCGCAAACTTTGACTTTTCACCTGCCCCTCCTTTGGAAAATTCCAGACCATGTCTGTCATCGACACTACCAAGGACCTTTCGGCACTTTTCACGAAACAGGTCCAAGCTACCCCGGATCTGATTGCTTTGGAAGACGACAAGCATACATACACTTATCAGGAGCTCCACGACAAAGTCGCTGCCCTCGCCGACCGGCTGCGGGGTCATGGCGTCGGCCGTGACAGCTTGGTAGGTGTCCTGTTGCCGCGATCCGCCGACTATGTGATCGCCTGTCTAGCAGCCCTACGGGCCGGCGGTGCATTCTTGGTCCTGGAATTGGCCTACCCTCCCGACCTCCTTGCGGATGTTCTAGAGGATGCTCAACCTACCGTCGTGGTTACTATCAGCGCCGAAGTCGGCAAGATCAAGGGAAGCACCCCGCTTGTTGTTCTGGATGAAACCAGCTCAACTACCAATGGCCAGGTGAGCGAGTCAGAGTTGAAGCCACTACCCGAAGAGACCGATTTGGACCGCTTGGCCTTTGTTGCGTACTCTAGTGGAACGACTGGCAAGCCGAAAGGCATCGCCAACCCACACCGAGCGGCGGTTCTCTCATATAACCTTCGATTTGGACTCTCAGACATACAGCCAGGCGATCGGGTGGCCTGTAATGTATTCTTCGTTTGGGAAATTCTTCGCCCGCTGTTGCGAGGTGCGACTGTTGTTGCTGTACCGGACGAGGCCAGCTATGACCCGCGCATGCTGGTCGACCTACTCGCCTCGAAAAAGATCACCGAGACTCTTTTCACACCAACACTCTTCTCTGCCGTTCTTGCTCGTCACCAAGCGCTGGAGACGCGCCTGCCAAGCCTGAAGACTGTTTGGCTTAACGGCGAAGTTGTGACCACCGACCTCGCACGTCGTGGTATCAAAGCTCTACCTAATACCCGTCTACTCAATGTGTACAGTGCATGCGAAACTCACGAGATCGCTTGTGGAGACATCAAGGATATGCTCGAGAAGCTGGATAACGATGCTGCCTACTGCCCTGTAGGACCGCCACTCATTGACAGGAAATATATCTACATCGTGGACGAGAGTGGCCAGAAAGTGGAAGAGGGAGAGAATGGCGAGCTCTGCGTAGGTGGACACTTGCTTGCTCGTGGATACCTTAATCGCCCGGAGACCACCGCCAAAGCTTTCATCAGGAATCCTTACAGCTCGAAGACTGGTGCTCGCATGTACAGGACTGGTGACAAGGCACGTCTTCTATCGAATGGCTTGCTTGAGATCACTGGACGTGTTGGCGCCATGATCAAGATTCGCGGATACTCCGTGGTACCAGGAAAAGTTGAGAGCGCGATTCTCAACCACTTGGCAGTCAGCCACTGTGCTGTTGTACCTTTCGGAGAAGGCATCGATCGACAATTGGTTGCGTACATCGTGCGGGACAAGGAGGCGTCTGCAGAACGTCCAGAAGTCGAGATTGACCGAACCGGCCGCAGCTCAACCGCCAGGCGCATGCTGATGGCATATCTTGCCCACTACATGATACCCGCACTTTGGGTCGAGATGGACAGTCTTCCAAGGAGCGATGTGTCCGGAAAGGTCGATCTCAAGGCACTTCCTCCTCCCAGACCTGCGTCCCCCACAGGAAGCGCACGCAAGTTTGAGCAGAGCCCCATTTCCATCGAACAGATCACCCAGATCTGGGCATCGATACTGAGCATTAGCCCAAGCTCCATCACTCCTGAGTACAACTTCTTCGATCTCGGTGGTCACTCACTGCTACTTGCCGATCTCGCCGCGCGTCTGTCGAACACTTTCGGATTCAGGGTGCCGGTCGCACGCCTCGCCACTCCAGCAACGCTCAATGGCCATCTCGATACCGTTCGGGCTATCCGGGATGGCCACACCGCTGAGGTCCAGGAGAATCTGCCTGCCGTTCTGCGAGCAGATTCCGTACTAGACAAGGAGATCCAGCCAAAAGACGCCAAGATGTGTGCGCTCAAGGATGCGAAGACTGTGTTACTCACTGGTGTTACTGGATTCTTGGGCGCATTCCTGCTCCGAGATCTTCTCGAAACCACATCTGCCCAGATCGTGTGCATGGTCCGTTTCGCCGATTCCTCGCAAGACGATATACCCGCTGGTATTGCTAGGATACGTAGGAACTTGCTGGACTTCGGTCTGTGGAGCGATAACATCATGGAGCGCGTCGAAATCCTTCCAGGAAACTTGTCGCGTAAACGGTTCGGTCTCGCTCCGGACACATTCAAGGCCTTGGCCGACCGTCTGGACGTGATTGTCCACGCAGCTGCCACTGTGAACCTTGTCTATCCTTACGCTGCGCTGCAGAAACCCAACGTTGGTGGCACAAGAGAAGTTCTTCGTCTTGCTGCTCAAGGTGGTGCTACCGTACAATACATCTCTACCAACGGAGTACTTATGCCTGCCAAGGGTCGCGAAGGATGGTCAGAAGACGCCATGCTGGAGGTCGATGATGTTACCAAGCTTGCTGATGGTTACGGCCAGACCAAGTGGGTTGCTGAGCAGCTCGCTCTAGAGGCCGGCCGAAGGGGTCTTCCCATCAAAATCCATCGTCTTGGAACCATTAGTGGTCATAGTGAGACAGGTGCTGCCAACGCATGGGATCTGTTGACAGCCATGATTGTCGAGTCGATCAGAATCGGCTACTACCCCGATGTCAAGGGTTGGCGCGCGGAGATGACCCCAGTCGACTTCGTCAGCAAGGCAATAATGCACCTTAGCAACCAGACCGAGACAGACCAAACAATGTTCCACATTGGAGACCCTGACCCAGTCGATATTAGCAAGGTCTTCGAAGATCTCAGTGCGCTAGGTTACCCAACCCAGCCGATGGACTTTGAAAAGTGGACTAGCCTCTGGGACGACAAGCGAGGTTCTGCCAAGGGTGGTGACGGAGCTTTCACAGTCGATATTCTCCGAAGCGGTATGCCAAGCGTAGAGTTCCTGAGGGATGTTGTGGTGCTCGATAACGCGAAGACCAGGCCGCTGCGCCTCGCAGTGGAGCGCCCAAAGGTGGACCAAACACTACTTGAGACATACACACGACATTGGTATGCACGTGGCTGGCTTCCAAAGCCGCCCGCACACCAGGATGCTGCTGGTGGCTCTGCTAGACTTCCACGAAGAGGTCCCCTTTTCGGTAAGGTTGCTGTAGTTATGGGCGCATCATCCGGTATTGGCGCAGCTACCGCGACTGCTCTTGCCAGGGAGGGTTGCCACGTTGCCCTCGCAGCACGCCGAATCGACGCCCTTGAAGACCTCAAGAAGCGCCTTGTGATCCGCGAAGGCAAGGTTATTACGCAAAAGACTGATGTCACAGACAAGGCTCAGGTCGAGGCCCTCGTTGCCGCAGCAGAGAGCCAGCTTGGACCCGTCGATATCTTCGTGAACGTCTCGGGAGTTATGTACTTCACCATGATGGCCAACACATACACCGACCAATGGAACCAAACCGTGGACGTCAACTGCAAAGGTCTCCTCAACGTCATCTCGTCCATCATACCCTCGATGCTCAAGCGCGGAAAGGGCCACCTTCTTGCCATCTCCTCGGATGCTGGACGAAAGGTCTTCCCTGGCCTCGGCGTCTACTCCGCATCAAAGTTCTTCGTCGAAGCTACACTGCAAAGCTTGAGGCTCGAGACTGCCGGAACTGGACTGAGGGTTACTGCTGTGCAGCCAGGAAATGTGGCGACGGATCTGCTCGGTATGAGTACAGATCAGGAGGCTTTGAAGAAGTTTGGTGAGCCAACTGGCGCGAAGGTACTGGATCCGGAGAATGTTGCTGAGTGTATTGTCTATGCGCTCAAGCAGCCGGATCACGTCTCTGTGAACGAGGTGCTTATTGAGCCGAGAGACGAGCCTATCTAGACCAAGCTGTGTGGCAGAGAGTTGTTTTATATATATTCAGTTATGATCATGGTTGAGCCGTACAGTGATAAAACTTTGACGGATGTGTAGCGACTAATCTGTGCCCACCTCGTTTGAGGAAACGTAAGATTGGCAGTGTACAAAAGAGTGATAGATCTCGATGTTTCTTCATCAAATACATGTTCGCTACAAGCCAATACCGCCATCTCCATACTATCGCATAATGCTTCAACTAAGCCGCCGGACTCAACACAAAAGTCACCATACTCCTCCCCGGCACCTGCGCATTAACACTACCCCCATCCGCCGCCAATGTCGCCACAATCTCATCGCAATCATGCCCATTATCCGTGATCCATGCCTTCGCCGCCGTAGCAACAAAACCACTCGCCCTAACCGTAACGGCACCCGTCACCGTCCCTCCTTGTATAACCTGCACCGCCAAACTCCCATCCACATTCCTAAACGCACTAACCCGACTTCCGCTCGGTCCACCACTCGCCCCCACCCTCACAGCACCGGGTCTTACATGTCTACTCCAATTCGCGAATGCCCAGAGACGCTTACTCGGTATGACTGATGTTTTGTCATCGGAGATACGGATTAGCTTGCTGTTTGTTGCGCCGCCTTGGACGCCGATCCAGTATAGATATGCCGAAGCGTTGGCGGTTGTGAGGGCAGTGTGGATTTTGGTTGCCCAGTTTAGGCCCTCGCCTGCGCCGTTGTTGGTGTAGAAGACTGTTGTCCATGCGCCTTGGAGGTCGGCGTTTTCGGTTTGCCAGACGTGGTGGGGTGTGTTTATGGGACTGTTGGGTTGGGATGTGTAGGAGCTGGACGGTCAGTATATGGTTTCGGCGTTTGGGTGGAGGACTTACTGTGCGGTGATTGTACCCAACAGGCTACTCACGCTATTTAGTGCACTCATCATACTCTGCTGACTGCTCCATCCTTCGGCGTCACAGCACGTAACCTTTACGCTCGTAAAGTTCGCTTTGTCGAGTGTTGGTCGCAATACTTTGATGAAGTCTGCGGCTTGCTGCCCGTTGCTCCTCATGCTGGCATAGCTTGTCGTAAGATCTGGTTCGTTCAGGAAACCCAGATGCGTGATGTCCACCCCGATGTTCTTGTAGTAAGTGATGTACTGAACCAGATAGTTGGCGTACGCTTGCTTCCAATCCCCGCTCGAACAAGTGGCGCCGGAAACCCCACAAAGAGATCCCCCATTTGCATCGTTGTTGTTCGTTTTCATGTATCCTGGTGCCGACCACGCATTTGCATATACAGTGCGCAAGCCATACGTCTTCACTGCTTCGGTGCTAACCCAGACCTGGCTGTTGTCATTGCCGTCAAACACATATTTCGGCGTCGCATTCGGACCCCCGGGATTCGTGGGTTGAATGGAAACCATGTGGTCGCTGCTGGAGTCTGGAGACGAACCGATCCCATTTCTCAAGATAGAGAAGCCGGCGCCGGACGTGCGGTTGAAGAGCAGGTCAAGGGCGTAGCGTTGGAGTGAGAGAGAGAGGGCATGCATCTGATTCGCGCGTTGAAAGGTTTCCGATATACCGAAGCCATCTATGGTCTGGTACGTTTTGGTCAAGTCGACGGTTACAGTGGAGGATTGTCGGGGTTGTAGGGATGCGTATGTACTCGCGAACATCGTCAGCGCCAGGACGAGGTAGCTGGAGAGCGCCATGACTGGAGTCTAGGTAATCTGGTCCCTTGAGATATACCTATGGAGCTTCGCAAGCGACTGATATGCCGTGAATCGCGGTAGGCGAAGCTTTTGTATAAGCATCATCTCCATTTAGCCTTTATCCATGTTAAAGGGAACGCCGCAGGGATGCTATTAGTTGGGAGCCCCACAAACAGCTTGAATACCGAGCTTGCTGTGCATTCATTATATGTACTAGGAAGATTCTCTGCAAGCTGATCTCCGCCGTTGCGGTAAAACCGAGCAGCAATGTCGCTGTGAGTGGTGGAATTACCCGGTGCTTACCTCCGTAAAGTACTATAGCTATCATATATAAATCTCCGAGAAGCGATCTCGAGAAATTGAGCCATGTCTTGAGCGGCAAGACCCCACAATGTCTACTCCATGCCGGTACCCTTGTCCGATTTCTTTGGAATCCATCTCTTTCTGAACATTACATAGGGCATGGCCCCAGAATCAGTTGCGTCGCTACATCTGAGAACCGCTGCGGTCAATGATCAATATCTTCCTACTCGATACGAGATCGACATGTTGTTAATCGTCGGTCTCTCACTGATCCTTCCATATGTAGTATGTGACCGGAAAGCTAGGTGGAACGCGGGAACGCATGTTAAATCGTGTCGGGACACGACAGACAGGCCATCGAGCATGTTATCAGTTGTGCCTCTGATACATCTTCAGTGTTGCCGATCTTGCAGAACTGGTGCTTAGCCTTTGTGATGTTGAGAAGTGATGAGGGCTCACCCAGGGTCGAGGCTGTCGCATGCAAGCCACGCTAGTGTCTTGGCAGTCGTCAATCCAACATTTCGCGGAGGAGCGACTACCCTCACAGCAACAACAACCCACCATGGCCGACCTAGCAAAAGTAGACGAAGTAGCGCCCGCGCCCGAAGCCCCTCAAAATGTCGAAGAGGAGGTCACTACCGTATCCGTACCGCCGAAAGTCGAAAAGGCCGAAGCATCAGACACCGTGAGCGCGAATGGAGCGCCAGCGCAAGATGCGACCACAGTCCACGAAGCCGCTTCGATGGAAGATGGCTCGCTCACTGCGCCTACAAACCCCGACCCGAAAGCTGCGCTCGCTGCGCGAATGGCCCGCTTCAAAGCGCTCCAAGCAGCCAAAGTAAACGGGCGTAAAGAGACAGAGCGCGAGGTTCGCGATGCTGAAGACCGCAGTTCTCGCCTCGCGCAGATCTCTAAACTTGGTGCCCTCAACGAGAAAGCCTCGTACAAACTCCTCAAATCAGAAGACCCTGATTTCGAGCGCAAGAGGAATTGGGACTACACAGTTGAAGAGAGCGAGAGCTGGGACAAGCGGCTGAAGAAGAAGTCGAAGAACAGGGAGGGAGTCGCATTTGCGGACTACAGGAACGAGGCGAACAAGGTGTACAAGAGGCAGATCGGTCAAATGAGCAAAGTCGACCTGGAGGCGTATGCCGAGGAGAAGGCAAGGAAATTGCAGTCGCAAGTATCCTCCGGACTCCTGCAACTCGTTGAAACGGATGCCGGGGAGATCTACACCGTCGACAATCAAGGGCGCATAAACACACCAGTCGACGAAGCGTACAGTCACGACCACAAGCCATCGAAGGAAGCCGTGGATAGGCTAGTAGAAGACTTGGAGAAGGGCGAGCGCGCCAGGTTGAAGGCCAGGGCAGCGAGAGGCATACGCGACTCCGAGGATATGGGCGATGTCACGTACATCAACCAAAAGAACAAGCAGTTCAACGACAAGCTCTCGCGCTTCTACAACAAATACACAAGCGAGATCCGGGACAGCTTCGAGCGAGGAACCGCGATATAAATTGGGGCACAAAAACAATACTATACCTATACCCTGGCATTTTGCTCTCGAGGGCTGGCGTTATATCATGCAGAAAGGCACCGGGGGATTTGGCGTTATTACTATTGCATTACGGCACTAGATTCCATCACCAATACGGCTGAGGACATTGGTTCAAGTCTGAAATATACTCGTATTCCTGGATATCATGCGCATCGCTCTACATCATACTACTCAACACCCTGTTCACATCCTGACCCGGTTCAGGCTTCTTCATCGCCTTGCTCGTAGCCGTATGCTGCGAGAACTCGAGCCTTCCCTTCCGTCTCTTTGGCTTGCCATCTACCTCTTGTACCGCTGCTGCTGCCTCAGTCGCCGCGTTATCGCCATCAACATCCTCCCCTCTCTTCCGCCTTGTAGCCTCAATACCACTAGCCATCTTGCCTCTCTCCACGTTCTCCAAGAACGCCTTGTTCTCCTTCTTGCCCTGCGAAATCTCAAATCTGAGTCTTGCCGCGCGCTCTGCGTTCTCATTCTGGATCTGCTCGACCAGGTTGTGCCACTTGACGCCGCTCAAGTACCGGATATTCCACACTTCGTCGTGCCACCTGCCCCTCTTCTTTCCGCCCATTGTTTGCGCATTTAGGTTCTCGGCAACGAATTTGGCGTCGCGTTTGTGGAGGAATTCGACCCAGCCGTCGAGGAAGAGCTTGCGACGCGTGCCTCCGTTGCGCAGGCGCTGGGTGCGCGATGTACTGTCCTCGGGGGTGAGGAATATGCGGCCTACGGCGCCGTAGGGTGTTAAGAGGGAGCGCATTACGGCTGGCTTCATAAAGGGCGGGACGCGGGAGAGGTATATGACACCGGACTTGTCTTTCTTGAGTGACGAGGGTGGCAGAGCCTTTCCGAGTTTCGTGGTCTGTAACCTCATTTCCGAGGGGAGGGATGCTGCAAGTTTCTCGAGATGTGCTAGTTCGGCGCTCTTGGAGGCAAAGCGCTTCGGTGCGTGTTGTTCGTCGTCGTCTTCTCCATCTTCGGCATCGTCTTCGTCGAAATCTTGTTCTTCACCATCTTCCAGTTCCTCCGCATCGCCCTCGGAGTCGGAGACGTGGTCTATTTTTTGCCGCTTTGAGGTAGGTAGCATGCGCGCTCTGCTCTCCTCCCCGGAATCATAGCCTCTCTCCTCGTCTTCGCTTTCCTCAACGTCGAGGTATTCGTTTCGTTTGCGCGTCGCCATTGTTGCGCGGGGAGTAGTTGTTCTGCGGATTGCAATATGATAGACTCTTCGCGAAGTACGTAATAGTCTTTCGGTCAGGAAACGCCTGTCGTGACGTGGATATTCGGGCTGTATACGGGCGCATTCGTCCGCTCGAAACTTTTGCGGAGAAGTCGCGGAGGTCAACTTTTGGGTGGGGCCTGACCTAGCGCCTTGGCACTTTGTCGCGCAAGTCATCTGCCAGCCTCCATCACCTTTTCACATCCACAACCACCACACCCACCAACGAACTCACCTACCCGCGCATCACACCTCGCTCGCGTTCCCACCAACGATCACAACTAGTCGCGCATCAAACCTTTCTCGCAAACCCACCAACAAACATCACCTACCTGCACACACCACACACCTCTCGCAGCCATGGGAGGAGATCTCAATTTGAAGAAGTCGTGGCATCCCCACCTGCGCAAGAACCAGGAGAGAGTGTGGAAGGAAGAGAAGTCTGCGCTCGAGGAGCGCAAACTGATCGAGAAGTTGCGCAAGGAACGTGAAGAGGAAGCGGCAATCGAGCAGCTGCAGAGACTGCAAGCTGAGAATGGCGGCAAGGTCGTACAGCGAAGGGTTGACTGGATGTATTCAGGCCCGAGTGGCGATGCCGGCGTGACAGAGGAGCGCGAGGGCTACCTTTTGGGCAAACGCAGGATCGACAACCTGCTGAAGTCGAACGATACACAGAGCCTTCAGAAGGGCGCTGCAGTCGGCATCGACGCCGCCACGGCCGACACGAATGCGAACACTGCTCGCGACACACAGAAGAAGGTCCTCCAAGACCCGCTCCTCATGATCCAGAAGCAGAAAATGGAGATGCAGTTGAAGGCCATGAAGGACGCGCAGAAAGAGGCTAAATACGCCGAAAAGCGCGAGAAAGAGAAGGAGCGAGAAAAGAAACACAAGAATCGGGACAGGGAGCGGAGTCGCGAGCGCGAGCACAAACACAGCAGTCGGCGTCACCGATCGCGTTCGCCACGTAGGAGAGAAGACCGAGAAGACCGTCGCGATCGCGACAGCCATCGTGACAGCCATCGTAGACGGTCGAGATCCCGCTCACGATCCCCATACCGCAAACACAGCAGCCGACGAGACCGCACTCGATCACCGCGCAGAAGGGAGGATCGTGGCGATCTTCGCGACCGCGACACATACCGACGACGGGACCGTACACCACCGAGAAGACAAGTCGAAAAACAAGTCGAAAGCAAAGCCGATGATACGGAAGCCCGTCAAAGCGCTGCTGACCGCCTAGCTGCAATGCAAGCAGAGGCAACATCACTAGAGGAGCAGCGGGCTGAGCGTGTTCGACTACAAGAAATCAAGGATGCAGAGGAGGAAGAGAAGCACAAGAAGAACATGGATGGCGGGCGCCGTTTCATTTCGAGTGTGCGTGGACAAGCCTCCAACATGGATTTAGGCGATGCGATCGCTCGTGGACGGGGTAATCTGAGGGCAGAGATTGATACTTAGGGATTTGAGAGTCTGGTGTTATGTGCTTATGATGAATAGAGAGTAAATTGATACCCTAGTCTTCCTCGCTAGACTTGACTTCGCCCTCACTCCCGCGAGCTCAGGAGACCTCTTCCACCCGACTGCTAGCTAGTATCTTGATTTGGGCATTTATGCGATCTGTTCGACAAAAAAGAGTTCTAGTATTTTGCTATAGCGACAGTATATCTCTCGCGATCCATAGGGCCAAATATTGTCTACAAAGGGGAACTAAGGAACCAAGGTACGAAATCGTGAACCTCCCAAGTAGCTCTTCGCCTGTTGAAATCTCCCAAGCCCTAAATTGAAACGCTACACCCCGCAATGAGCTTGCGCCCAGTTCAGCAAGCTTACTTGTGCACCATTTGATCCAAATCCCTGGATCACCGTTCATAAGCCGCTGTAGATGACGGCAACCGCAAGGCTCATTACCAGAGCAGCCAG